GGTACTTAGAATGGAAAAAGGGACAAACGGGAGAGAATCGCATTATCGGCGTGATTGGGTCTCTAGTATGATGGTAATGGTGGCTGGCTCTCGTCCAGCCGCCATCTTCTCTTCTTGGCAAGCTGGTGTGCAGTTAAGGTTAGGATTTGATGAAGAGGAGTTTAAATACTCCCCTTCTCTTGATCTGGCCCGTCCATTCAGGCCCGTATGGACCGATATCAGCCATTGGATTAACTTATTCGAAAAATAATTTTGGATCATTTGATTGAAGGCACAATGACCATTTGATCGCACCTAAAGAGAAAATAGATCTGAGTCATTCGTTCGCGCAGGAGTAAATACGGACTGTTGGATCACTTGGCACGCGGATTGCCCGCGTGGCCTTCTGCATGGAACACGTGCTGTTGTGTCTGCCATGCGGTGCAAGGCAAATGGTCGTGCTACTAATGTGGTTGTCCCACGTGGCCACTCTCTCCATTTTTGCACTTTGGCACCTGTTTTCAATTTTTCTTTTCAAATGAGTTATCCTTTATTTTTAGTTTGGTCCATTCATTTTGAAATTATTTTCAAAGACATCCAAAATGCAAATATTTAAAGAAAATTTTTAAAAAATTAAAATTAAATATTTTATTATTATTCTTAAAATTAATTTATGTTATCTCAAGTTTAAATTCTAAATTCGGGATATTACACGTTTAACATTAATAGATTAAAGTTCGATTCAATTAATTTGATAGTTTTTCATGCACAATAAATTCATTAAAACCCAACATATATATATGCATGAGAAACAAATTTTTTTGAGCATAAACTTGATCGCGTATTGTTCTAGTTCATTAATTCTTTAATAAATTAAGTAGATTTTAACGAAAGAATAAATTAAGTTGTTGTTTATATTATACATTGCGTTGCTTTGAAGCTTAAACAAGCCTTCGGCAGAGAAAAATGATGTGGAATTTTTGTCTTGTTTTATTTTATTATTCATTTCGTTTATTTTTTCTGTTAAGAGAAGTGAAAAAAAAAAAGATTATTAAATTGAATAATATATTTCAAGTACGTATTTAATTAATATAATTCAATTACGATTTGTTTTTATAAATTGAATTAATATGATTCATTGTACTTAATTAAAACAAGATTATAACATATGCATAATATTTTGTTAATAATTACTAATAAATATAATTAATAATATTTATTAAATTACAATTTCTGATCAAACATTAATTCATCATCATCATCATCCAATTTTTTGGCCGCATAATTTGAGTTATTCTAATTATTTATTGATTTGTGTAGTTATTTTAAAACACTAATGGTAATTAAATAAATTATAATAAATAATTATTTTATATAGTTTAATTTTAAGTTTAAATCATTTAGAATTTATTTTTCCAAATAATTGCCTTTTGTAAATTAAATATTTTATTTTAACATAATTATATTACTTAGTATATTTAAAGAAATTAAAAATAACGCGTATGGAGAGCAAGTGTATGAAAGACTACTAACTAATATATATATATATATATACACACACACAAACACACATACATACAATAATATCTTTTATGGATAACGAGTGGTGCATGTGGATTCCTTGGAGTAAAAGCATAAGTTTTTTATTGGTTCCTGGTACGAAACCGAAGGTAAAAGAAACAAGCATGGGGTGACTTGAATAACAACTTTAAAAGTTGCTATACGACTTAAATACTGCTTTTTCCACGTATACACACACACACACACACATATACATATACATATGCATATATATATGGTAGCTGTCGGGATCATCAATACCCAATTTAGATAATTAACATGATTTAATTAAAACTTAATTTGAGAATCAAGGCACCAAAAACATGCTACGGTAAATTAAACATTTTTAATATTTGATACGTAACTATATATATATATATATATAAAGTAATTAATAATAAAAATAACAAGTTTAATTTTTTCAAATCTTATATTAATATTTTCTATAAAAAAAATTAGTGTTCACTACTTCACGAGAACATCATCTCATATATTTTTATGAAAACCATATATATATAAACACACTTGAGTTTATGAAATGAAAATAAAAAACTATTTGCATATACTAAATGGAATTGTATTTTCTTTACAATTCTAAAGGAAATTAAGATAGAATAATTTATATTTTAATTAACTCATATTATAGCAGCTAAGAAAATCTGTTTTAAATATATATATATATATATATGATAATCCTTATAGGAACATAATTTATTTTTGAAAGTAACAAAAAATAATAAATGAAAGTATATTATCTAAGCATGTATTATTGTACTAATTGAATGGTGTAATTTATTTGAAAAACAAAAAAAAAAAATTGAATCATGAAATTTATTGTTGATATTAAATATGCATATATTATTTGTAATAAATTACCATTAACGTGTGATTTCAATAATTTTATAATTAAAGGAAATTAAATGAAATAGTAAAATTAATCATAATTGGGAAAAATAACTCCTCATGATCTCATATTTAAACCGCACTAATTAGTATAGATTAAACCCTTTTTTTTTTTTCATTCTTCAAACATTTCTCCATGAGTTTATATTTACAAAATCTTACAATTGCATCTTTTTTCTTTTTAATACGTATTTTTCTTGATTTAACTAAAAGGAACAAAGAGAAAAGATTATCCATCCCCCTAATATACTTATTATAAAGTTAAAAATTCAAATCCGAATCCTATTTCTACTTCCTTTTCTCAAAAAATAAAATAAAGTTAAAAGAAATACTTTTTTTTATTTTATTTTATAAAACATAGTAAATTTTTAATAATCTCACGTGATATATATATATATATATATATATATATATAATATTCTTCTAATATCTCAAATGACAAAAATATTTGTATAATTTTTAAAAAATGATCACGTCATTTAAATAAGACTAAATATATATAATATACAAATAAAACAAAATAGAATTTAGATAATAATGAAGGTGGACTAAAAGGCATAATGCGTGAATAAGACAATCCAAACCATTACAACCAGAAAAAGAAAGGCTCGAGTGAAGCAGAAACCCCCCCAAAACCGTGTGAACGTACATCAACTCCTTTATTATACATACAATATCTATATATATGTATATGTATATAATTTCTGCTCACTCCGACAATCTATAAATTACAACCACCTACTAAAGCCCAACTACAATATTTGTCTCCAAATTTTTTCTCTAGTTCACATTCCCTTTCCCTCTTTCTCTTTCTATATGTATAGTCTTTGACTCCATATATACTTACGCTTTGAATCTGTATTTTATCCAGTCACCAGTTCAATCTTGAAGAATCTGTAATTCTTTCTCCCGTTCAATTACGAGTTTGTTTTCTTGCGTATTGAGGAGTCATGTTGTTAAGAAAACACATAATTGGCTTGATAATGGTGACGATTATGGAGGTATTGGCGATGAAGAAATGCATAGCGTCAGAGATCAACAGAAGCAGTTTCCCGCCGGGTTTTGTGTTTGGGACCGCTTCTTCTGCTTTCCAGGTTTCACGCATTAATTCATTTCTCTCTCCTTCCATTTTCATTCATATTGTATATATTACGTGTCTCTCTCTTCTGCTTCCTTTAAAATTAAACAGATCATCGCAATTCGTTTCTCTGCAATCCGATTCTGGAAATCGTTTCTCTAGAATTTCACGTGATTTTTTTCACATCATATGACAACAAGTGGTTAAGAGTTTTGTTTGGCAGCGCTGACGAACAAATTGATTAATTACACTATTTTTGAGATTTAAAATACATTCCAATAATTTCATTTGTCCTCATTTGAATTTCAGAATGCTTTCGGTTTTGAAACTCATCTTAAATAGAATTAATAGTTGATAGTTACTCCGTTGGCCAGAGTGCATACTCTGCATGACGTCCTGAATATGCGGGAATATAACTGTACTTGACTTGTTGCTATCTACTCCTTCTAATTTCTTTTTTTTTTTTTAATTTTTTTTTCCAATATGCAGAATGAAATTTTAGTTGATTATTTAGACTTAATTTTTTTTTTTTTTCTAAATTCGTAGATATATATAGATTTAAGTTATACAGTGTATATTCAGTTTATGGAAAACGTAGTGCACAATCTTTTACATTGAAAACAATTAATTCCGTATATGAGTATTCTTTTTTTGGGGGGTAATCTTATCTGAACAAATAAAGTATATAAAATTATTTGTTAAATTTCTTTCTTAAGACAGAAGCAAAAACTAGATTCTTATACGTTGTACATTTATCTTAAACAGGTATATATGTACATGTACAGGAATCTTTTTGCATGATCTGTGTGTGTGTGTATATATTGAACTTTATATGTCAAATTTGACTTGATTGTCCTGTCCATTAAAATGACAGCTAAGCAGACAATGAAGCCTATCTGTTTGAAATATGAAAATGGAATTCTGACATAAATTTATGGTTTCTGTTACAAAGTGAACACAGAAAAATACTAAAGCAAATGTATAATATATCTATATATATATATATATATGTATATACAGAGGCTAAGTTGATAATTGGATTAATCAATATGACAATATTTTTCTTCTCTCAGTACGAAGGGGCAGTGAAAGAGGATGGAAGAGGACCCACCGTTTGGGACAAATTTTCACATTCTTTTGGTATTTTTCTTTTATTTCCTACTTTGTTTATAAGAAAGAAGTGTATTTTTCTTCAAGTCCCAAAATATATTTATATACATATACATATATAGCTTAAGTTATTGTCATAAAGTAGCGAAAGTTTTGGTGGTGCACAAAAATTTATATGAAATCTCACGGTATGATAAAATAAAAAGACAATAATTATTTGCTAGTGTGAATTCTACGAAAGAAAAAAATAATTATAAAGCCGAGTAAACAAAATAAGTAATGGAGAATCTTTGATTCAACCTCAATAGTAATATGAGGCCAATCAATTCATTTCTTTTTTAGTTGGCCTCAAATCAATATACATATTTCATTGATATTCATTTGTTAAACACAATTGTTTGACATACTATATATTATCAACTGTAGTGGCATTATATATGAATCCACCTAAAAAAATAAGTTATTGAAAATAATTTTGCAGGTAAAATTGCAGATTTTAGTAATGCTGATGTCGCAGTGGATCAGTATCATCTCTACGAGGTAAACTCCCATACCAGATACATACATACATATAAAGGAAAGATTTATAATAACAGCTTGTGGTGGAAACAGGGAGATGTACAACTTATGAAGGATATGGGAATGGATGCCTACAGATTTTCAATCGCTTGGTCTAGGATTTTTCCCAGTAAAGTCTTTTACACTGAGATAGTCATAAACTTTTTATCAATATAAATAGTCTAATAAAACTGTGATATCATTAAATATATACAAACAGATGGAACTGGTGAAATAAATCAGGCAGGAGTGGATCACTACAACAATCTCATCAATGCTTTACTTGCTAAAGGTGCATACCCTTCAAATTTCACTATATCCTTTGTACACTTTTATTTGAATATATGAAGCAATTTTGAGGAGAAATTATATTATCAAATTGCAACAAGTTCAGGAATTGAACCATACATCACGCTTTACCATTGGGACCTTCCTCAAGCGCTTGAAGATAGATACAATGGATGGCTGAGTCCACAAATTATGTAAGAATCAACACTCACAATTTCCTTTGCTCCAGCACATTATATGTGTTTTCTGCAGTACAGATTCAACATTTAATCAACCGAATTAGCTGATTTGTTGAGTTTCATTGTTACAGAAACGACTTTGCAGTATATGCAGAGACTTGTTTTGAGAAATTTGGTGATAGGGTGAAGCATTGGATTACATTCAATGAGCCTCACACATTCGCCATACAAGGTTATGATGTAGGCCTCCAGGCGCCAGGACGCTGCTCTATTTTGCTTCGTACCTTTTGCAGGGCAGGGAACTCTGCAACAGAACCTTACATTGTTGCCCACAATGTCCTCCTTTCTCATGCAACAGTTGCTGATATTTATAGGAAAAAGTACAAGGTGAAATGAAACTTGGTTATTACGCTAAGAATTTAATCAAGAATGTTATTATCAGATAACAAAGCTAACAACACTTGCTCCTCTTACAGCCAAATCAACATGGATCACTTGGGTTATCATTTGACGTAATTTGGTATGAACCAAAGAAAAACACCACAGAAGACATTGAAGCATCTCAAAGAGCCCAAGATTTTCAGCTTGGCTGGTAATTTGATTACCATTCTTTCGTTCAATACCTTCTAAAATTTAAATATATTTTGAAAATGTTTTTAATTTTGTAGGATTGATTATACGTTTTATGTTTGTAGGTTTTTGGAGCCTTTGTTTTTTGGAGATTATCCAATATCAATGAGGAGTAGGGTAGGAAGCCGACTGCCTAAGTTTACCACCTATGAGACTGATCTTGTTAAGGGTTCTTTGGATTTTGTTGGAATTAATCACTACACTACATTTTATGCAACAAACAATAAAACTGGTATAATTGGTTTTCTACTTAATGACACTGTTGCAGACTCGGGTGCTTTTACCCTTCGTAAGTTAAAACTGATCTTTCTTTTTGTGAACTTCCGTTTAAATTTTGTTAAAAGAATATATATATATATATAGTTTTATACCATACTAGTAGTTTCTGATCGAAGGTACTGCACATTTTCATTACATTCAGCATTTAAAGATGGAAAAGCAATTGGAGACAGGGTACGCAATACACTCTCTATTATTTATTCTCTTCTAGTTACTATTTTACACCCCCTCTTTCACCTGACCTTGTCAATGTCTAACTTGTGACGAACAAAAAGACTAGTACTCTTAAGATTCAGAAATAATGTTTTTATTTCTTTCTGAAATGTCAGGCAAATTCTATATGGTTGTACATAGTACCTCAAAGCATGAGAAGCCTAATGAATTATATCAAGAAAAAATATGGAAACCCAATAGTGATTATCACTGAGAATGGTAATCTTCTAAAAGCTTTTATTTGGAGACATTCATATGTTATAATAAAATTGAACACAACAGCAGATGTATTTCATTAAGCTGTGCATTTGATGACATGGCATATAAGAGTGTTATTTCTTCGCATTCTAATTTGTTTCAGACCAAATTTTTGATAACTTATTGTATTTACAGGGATGGATGACCCGAATAATCCTCTAATCTCCCGAAATAACGCATTAAAAGACGAAAAGAGAATCAGATACCATAACGATTATCTAACCAACTTACTTGCTGCTATCAAGTATGTTTTGCATTTTCATTCTTGATATTCTAGTATGTATTTGAAGTGAGCAAAAGTAATAGTTGTTTGGGTTTGTATGTAAATATATATGCATATGCAGAGAGGACGGATGCAATGTAAAAGGGTATTTTGTTTGGTCTTTGCTGGACAACTGGGAATGGGCAGCGGGGTACACTTCAAGATTTGGTCTGTATTTTGTGGACTACAATGATAAGCTGAAGAGATATCCAAAGAGTTCTGTTCAATGGTTCAAGAACTTCCTTACTCCTACTAGATCAAACTAGTTTGTTCTTAATTAGAAGGAAATGATGCAATTTGATCTCAGTGTATTGGTTTAAATGGGTTTAATAATGTAATTTGTTCCATATAATAATTCTTAATTATATAATTTTATATTAATAATTACTGCCAGAAGTTTTAATTAAACAGTTTTTATTTTTGTAAAATATAATTTATTTTTATTAAATAATTGGAGAATATATATATATATATATTATGCATATAACAATTTTATCATAATATTTATCCAGAATATATTTAAAATTTGTTGAAGTCTCCATCTAGAACTTATCAGAATCCTAGCTGCCCTTTAGATGTTGGTGGATTATAATAATAGATAATTTAATGGTATTATATATTAAAGATTAATTTCTGTTTGCATGAGATGAGAAATACCTTCAAAATTTAAATCTTTAAAAATGGCAGCTAACAGTTAAGTTTACTTTACCCATATTTATAAAATGTCTTTAAATTTGAGAAATTATTAAAATTAAATATTTGATATGAGAAATATAAATTTTAATTTCCGCATCGCCAAGAAGGTGCTTCCGCGGCATCTTTAACTGCCCAACCGTTCTCTACTTACATCTATACATACACAACAACATCTCCCGCCATATTATTGCGCCATTCAAATTCCACCCTCTCTCTCTCTCTCTCTCTCTCTCTTCCCACTTCACCTAAATACTTACTTACTGTTTCGGAGAATAATTCAGAATCTTCCTCAGCTATGGCGTCTGATGCAAACGCTAATCCACAAACTTTCTCTTCCACAGGAGCACAGGATAATCCAGATTCTTCCTTACCTATCGCAACTGCTCCATCTTCGGATCCGAACGATAATCCAAAAATTTCCTCTGGTAGCTCTGTTGGAAGTACAGAGGATAATCCGAATTCTTCCTCAGCTAAAGACTCTGTTCCAGGTTTCGGAACAGAAGAAAATCCAAAACCCTCCTCAGCTCATAAAGGCAAGGCCTCTCATGCATGTTCAGATGAAGAACTGATGGAAAGAGACAAGGGGAAAAAACGGATGGCCTCCAGCTCGTCTAAGAGGAGCCGTCAAGGAGAACTTGATGCCGTAGTTCCTTCAACTACGCCTGTAGGAGAGCAGATATTAGCACGAAATTGCTATCATTTTCAGCCGAGTGATGAAGACTTGATTGTAAAATTTCTAGCGATGATGATCGGGGGTAATGAGTTGGACGATCACATTATCCAAGAGGTTGATCTGTACTCATATGATGCTGATGAACTTTCAATAAGTAATTTCCCTGGCAAATTTCTTTGTTAATTGCCTCACTTTAACTACTTTTGTGTTCTTGAGGAGAAAACTGTCTTTTAAGAAGTAGGCCCTGGGATTTGCTAGTTTTCTAATAATTAGCCAACGATTTTGTCAGCCGGATCTTACATATTTATATATGTATGTATAATTGGAAGTTTTCTTTAGCAAAAGAGGTATGAACATATTTGTATTATTGGTTTGAGATGTGCAGAGAAATTCAGGCATTGCCCGGGTAGAATGGCCTATTACTTCGTCGATCTAAAAGAGGAAATAAATGAATATCTCATACGGCCCACAAGGAGTGGGTACTGGACGACTACTGAAACGGATAAGAAGATTTACAAGCGGAGTCTAGTTGTTGGGTTCATGAAGACTCTGGTGTTCTACAAAGGGACGCCACCTTATGGGCGCGAAACCCCCTGGGTCATGCACGAGTACAATCTTAATCCCAAAGCCATTCCACCTGATGTCTATCATGGTGACGTTAGGGACAGGGTATGTTATAATTTGTTTTGAATTCATTTACAAAGACTTAACAGTGCGGAGGTGATGATATCTGTTTTTGTTGCCGGATTGCAGACGCAGAGGATTAGAGTATGCTTGGTGAAACACAAGATGGAAAGCCACTACGTCTCACCAATACCCCGTATATCATATCGAGTAGATGAAGATGCTTTTTCCGGAAGACATGCTGGAAGAGGTTGATCAGATAGGCAGCAGTCATTTACATTTTACCAGCTTTGATATGAAGAAACGTTTTGTCTTGTAATTCAGAAATTCTCGAATTTGGTGTTTTTGCAGTTTCTCTTTCAAAATTCTTTGATCAATTTCTAGTTTGAATAACATTTCCAGTCTCCTATTGGTACATTCTTCTTCTATAATTTTTCAAACCATACATCTTTTATTAATTTATTTATTTCAACTCTTTGATTAACGGAGGGCGAGGTTTGATACTTGATTTTGTGTGTATACGATGATGCTTGAGAGAGTCCTGTACACTTCTACCATAAAATTCTTTGATTTCTATTTAAATGCCTTCAACAAGAGCTTTGATGGTTGATCATCATTGCTCTGCCTTTTGTCGAATGCCATGGCAGCCAAACAAGTTCGATTTTCTTTAAAATATTACGCTTCTCATAAATGTACTTTTGTTTATTATAATCCGTCTATAAATTAATGTATAAAATACAAATTAATTATATTTATTAAGTTAAAAAAAAAATGTATATATTTATTAATTAAATAATACATATTCTCTAAATAATTAAAACAAAATTTACCAAAAAAGAAATTCATTAATAATATTTGATAATATGATAAAAATTAAATATAAAAATATGAAGTGGAGTTAGTGGCAGTTAGAGAGTTTGAGGATGTAACCCTCATTCAACAAAACCCGATTTCCGTTATAACAGAATAATAAAAACCACAACATACATCCCTTTTCTTATGAACAACACTCTTGCATAAACTCTCCTTCAAATTTAAATTACAACTTCTCCCTTTAAACTAATATAGCTTCTCCTTTAAATTCACAATCCTCCTCGCTTCATCAAACCATGCTCTCTCCTTCAATTTCAGACAATATCAGCAAGTTGTAGAAAGTGCAGTAAAAGATGTCGGATCCTTCTTTATTGTCAGGTGGAGTAGATGCAGTAAAGTTGATGTACTTGTCATGATTTCTTCTGAAGGGAGGAAGACTCTGTCAGCGGGCTTCAGATTTTTACCTCCTGAGAATGTTCTTCTTCTCTATCTTACAAGATAGATCGATCATTGGTTGTCAAATTCAAAACGTCATTGCTGAGTTTGATCTATAGGAATATGATGATGTTCAGCTCCCGATAGGTGATTTAGTTTGAAAACTACTGTTTAATTTGATTTCTCATACTGTCTTTGCTTCATCCCTCTTTTTATTTATTTATTTATTTTTAATCTTGTTATACTTATAAAAGCGATTTAATATGTTCACTAGCTTGTTCATCCATGCAACAAGCATTAAATTCGAGGAAACGTCCTTAGTTTACTTTTCAAATCAAACTAGTTTTTAGTTTAATGATTATGCTCGTAAGTCTCAATTTCAAATGGAGTTGTTTCTCTTCTTTGCATATTAACAAATACTATAACAGTCTAGCACATCAGTAGAAAAAGAAATCTGAAAAGGCAAATAAGATGAGTTACAAAATGAGGAATGATCAAATCGTTGATGACATAGTTGTACAGGACTGCCACTCTGAAAAAGCTGCAAAAATTTGTGCATTAGACTTCAATTAATAAATCTCATCTCTTGTTTCACTCTTGTAATCAGCTTCTTAGTTGCAGGGTTCTGGATTATGCAAAATTGGGATGAATTAAGATTTTGGAATATATCTTGTTGGCAAATTATCCCTCAATTGATGAGTCGAGCCATATTTTATCGGCCATCTCCACATGGGCTACATTCTTTTGTAGTTCTCTAATAAATAAATCTAAAAACTACGACATAACTATGAAATTATATTTCTCCCATTTCGTGAGCCTTTTAAAAGTTTCTTTAAAAAATCATTAGTAAAACAAAGTTTATTTTTATCAGGAAATAGTAACAATATTTAAAGGATTTAAAACAAGGATGGCTCATCGATGATAGGAACATTGCGAAAAGAAAGGTGATGAATGATCAAGTGGAGTTAGGTTAAATTGGGAGTTGTTTGTATTGTTATTATTAGGAATTTTGAACATAATTTACTTGGCCATGTTGTTAGGTATGATAAAAATAGAGAAAAAAATTAGTTATACTTTGATACTATGTAAATATTATACTAATTTATTTATGTCATTGATTTGATACCAGAAATATACAATACAGAAAATAAATGAATAAAAATTGGTGTAGCAAATCTCCTAAAACCTTATACTGGAATTATTTAAAATTTACGTTTTAAATGTAATACTCAGGTGGGTACAAAAGAAAAAATAATAATATATATTATTATTAAAAAAAAGAAGAAGAATGCAAGGAGAAGGGGAACAAACCACGTGGCAAAAAAAAAATATATATATATATATAATAAAATAACAGAAAAAAAAAGAAAAAAAAAAGAGAAGAGAGAGAGGAAGAGAGCTGAGTTCGAGCGGGTGAGAGATGAGTTCGAGCTGAGTGAGGATCGAGGCCGAGAGAGCAGAGTGAGAGGAGGAGCCTTAGCTGCGTGAGGAGGAGGCGTGAGATACAGTCACGAAGGTGAGACGTCATAATAAGGAGGGAGAGAGAGAGAGAGAGAGAGAGTAGAAGAATGAAGAAGAAGAAGAAAAATAAAAGAAGAGAAGAAGAAGGAGAAGAAGAGAGAGAGAGAGATAGAGAGAGAGAGAGAAGAAGAAGAAGAAGAAGAAGAAGAAAGGAAAAGAAAGAAAAAGAAGAAGAAGAGAAGAAGAAAAAAAAGGAAGAAGAAAGAAAAAAAAAAAAAAAGGAAGTTACGGGAAAGGAGGAAGAAGAAGGAAGGAAAGGAAAAAAAAGAAAGAAAAAGAGAAGGAAAAGAAAAAAAAAAGAAAAAAAGAGGAAGAAGGAAAAAAAAAGGAAAAAAAGAAAAAAAAATGATATAAGAAAAAAAAGGAGAAAAAAAAGAAGAAAAAAAAAGAGAGAAGAAATAAAATAAAAAAAAATAGAATTAAATTAAGGAAGAAAAATAGAAAGGTGGCAACTAAATATGATGTTGGTGTGTCGCATGCGACCACGCATGCTAATTTGATCATCAATGTTTAATATTTTCGATAACACGCATATGATAACGCG